ATGAATATATATTCGACTGCACGGATGGCGTAGTGGTTTAAGCGGTTGCCACGCCTCTTACTACTACGCTGAGTTTTGTGGGTTCGATCCCCACATGGGACAACACTTTGTGTGATCCACAAATTGTTGTTCTGAGTCTGGGTGTTCTTTGTGTCCGTTTCATGCATATTTGTAAAGTATCCCGCGACACAGGATATATTCCTAATGCGGGAGTTGTCTTTTCAAAGAAAAAAAGAGAAAAACAAGTATATAGTAATTAACTGAGATTATGAAACTTGATTATTCAAAATAAACTTTAAAACTCAAAGGCTTTTACGTATATTATTTTAGTCAATAATGATTTTAAACATTCAAATAGGGTTGCCCTAAAAACACTTCGATCAAAAATGCTACACAGAGGATGAAATTTCATTATTCCTTTTGTATTTATTCACTTTCAAAGCCAGTTCATTTTATTTAAAGTTACAATTTTGGTTGGTTGGTTTATTAAAATTATGCAGGTCACTGTATTCTACAGATTTATTACGAGCTTTATACACACGTCATCAAAGATTAATTGTCAAGTTTTTATATATTTTACTTTGGAAAATAACATAGTGCATAGTCTTTTACAAATACATAAAAGTGCCTCTTTCTATTATTGCAGAACTTAATCTTATGGACACTTACTAGTATTACTACTTATTGTATACTTGACATCGGATACTTAAATTCTAGGAAGTCTCGATTTAGTACGTATATATAATATAATATAACATGGATTTCATAAAGGAGTAAGGAAAAGTTAAAATGACTAACTAGGATCATCAATACACTTACATAATCAAATCATATTTAATGAAACAACGTACGTCCTACCTGATTTGTAAATCTTGAATTTATTTAGCTTATAGAAGGTATTCTCAGAGGTCGAGCAAGCGAACCTCAGTTTATATTTCCTCCCTTTCCAGGAGAATGAATAAATATGCCTGATTTTCATAACTAACTATTAAATGCTTCATTCATTAGCCAGAAACAAAGTATTAGGGAGAGGAAACAGAGCTTACAAAACGTTGAGAATTGTTGCTTTCAAATGTTGTCGTTGGCTAACAGAAAACAAAGTGATGTTCGTCATAGCTATTAACTTTAATATAGATCCAGTCTTTTAATTGAAAAATACTTCAGGCAATTCCATGTGACAAGTGTAACAAGTGAGTTTTGCTGATGCTGCTGGGAATTAAATAAAAAATGAGGCGGTCAAGTAGGTCGAGGGTCGTGTAATAAATGTTTCTCTGCATTGGGGTTAATAATTGAGGTTGATAAAAATGCAATAAACCCGCCGTCACGATACTTTCTTCTGCTAAAGGAAACATTACTCAGATTTAATATACATAATATGTGATATTACATTGTAGAAATTCCTAATATAGGCTGTCTCAGTAAGAGTGCACTTTTCCATTTCAAAATAAAAACACGTATTTTCTATTGTTTTTCTCTAGTGTTCTAATATTTTTATGCGACTGTAAAGAAGAAACGCTCCGATTAACTATGGGATAATCATCATCATCATCATCAGCCTGCTGCAGTCCACTTCTGGACATAGGCCTCTCCCATTGCACGCCACTTAGATCGATTTTGGGCTTCTCGCATCCAGCTCCTGCCAGCCATCTTGCGCAAATCGTCACTCCACCTGGCCTGTGGGCGTCCTACACTACGTTTACCGAGACGCGGTCTCCACTCAAGAACTCGTTTTCCCTAACGATTGTCGGTTCTGCGGCTAATATGGCCAGCCCACTGCCACTTCAGCTTGCTGATCCGGTAGGCTATGTCGGTGACCTTGGTTCTCTGCCGGATCACCTCATTTCTGATGCGATCCCTTAGAGAAACGCCGAGCATAGCCCTTTCCATAGCACGTTGAGCGACTATGAACTTGTGGACCAGCCGTACCGTAAGTGTCCACGTTTCAGCTCCGTATGTCATGACGGGATAAAATGGGATAAAATATCCGGCAAATGGCATGGCATGCACGGCACGGCATGGCGGCAGAGGCATTAAAATTGAGTTTCGGGGATGATTGTCCTCTTGGATCGGTCTGTCTTCTTGTAAAAGGTTTTAAAATAATTATCTGGAGAACATATATAAAAATGGAGCGTCAGAATTTACGTGAAGTAAAGGAATTATTTTGAGAGCTTTAAAGCGTCTGCAAAGCAATACAAACTTGGCATATCTTAGAAACTGAAATAAAAAAAAAATTTGTTTCATGGCTTCATTCTCTTTTTCATTTTCTTGTTTTAATACTCTATTTGAACTGGAAATAAATAAAGAGAGAGAAAGAAAGCGTACCTCCAAACGCGGTTTGGTTTAAAAACGCTCACTAGAACAAGTTCCTTTTTATGCTTTTTTTCTTTTGAGCCATCTGAAATTGGTTGGTTGAGTTGGAAAGTGACGTGTGCAACTCAGGAGACACAAACGCGTTGCTGGTCTTTTAGGAAGGAGCACGCTTTTTATCTTGAAGGTTTGAGGTCGTATTGGTATAACCCGTTCCACAGACTGGTTGTTGGCAAAAAGTATCTCGAAAAGTGCACAGTATTGGAGCGCCAATTATCAAATAACTATAACAACTTAATGCTACATACACACGTAGGCATAGAAAACCAAATATCAAAATATTTTAATCTACATAAATAAAAATGCATCGCCGAAATGTATGTCCGAGCATAACTTTGTAACGGCTACACAAAAATGCATTTTTTGGTGTTCGTTATGGTCAGGACTAGGTTTGTATAGAAGAAAAAAAAACAGTAATTGTTTTTTAATCTACTAATATAAAAAGTGATTGAGTGAATGAGCCAAAAGAATTCGAGGGATCTATACTAATATCATAAAGAGGTAAAGTTTGTGCGTTCCTTACAAACTTTATAATATCTCAGGAACTACAAGTTCGAATTAAAAAAAAAAAGGAAGAGCAAACGGGTCACCTGATGAAAAGAGTTTTCTTTTAGTGTCTATAGCCTTTTATCGATAATGGATATAGGCTATATATAACATCATGCTACGACCAATAGGAGCCGAGTATCAAAGAGAAATGTTTCGCAACGGGGAAAATTTATTCCTTTTCTTAAAAGCAGACGAAGTTGCGCGGTTCACATAGTTGTCTATATAACCTTTCTTTCTATTGGATGAGCGTTTGAAAGGAGGAAGGGTAATGTAGACATCTGCACCAATTGGACTTCCAGCAAATAAGGCCTTGATTAATAAGCCTTATCAATCTGCCCAACATGGTATTGAGTTGGTGAGGCGTTGAGTAGAAAGTGTTTAAAGGCACAGTCTGCACAGGGTATACAATAGAGTACTGCTATTACGCAGGTTTGCATGTTAATGTTGTTGCCGGTGTTGAAAATATGTGATTTGATAACTCAACAACTCTTCAAATTTAGTAGTAATGTAGTTACGTCACAAATATCGATATTAATGTTATCAACGTGGCGCGTGGGTTGAAGTATTGCACGCAATAGGTCAATGGATATTATATGAACTCGTGACCTTTGAAATATCCAGTAACAATTTTACCGCTGAGAGCACATGCAGATAAAGTGGCTGATATAGCTGCAAAATATTTATTTAACGTAAGCTGGGCTTAATAATTTATAATACTATATTTGTTGGTAGCACAAAAGAGTGATGACCTAAAAATTAAGTCAATCATGAATGTTTAAATAAATAAAAGTAATATACTTCATGGGACTAAGTCACGAAGTAACCTACTTTTTATTTTGTAATTTAATGAATAAACCACTCATATCTATAAAGCTGTATGCTTATCAATGGTGATGAATATATATTATTGAATGAATTGACTTTTAGCCAATAACTTATTATCCAAAATAAATAACTGTAATATGAAAGTTTTCAATAATTCGTAATAGGGACGGAATCTAAGCCTTTTAGGGACAGGAAGGGGAGACCGTGGTAACGGGACCCTTGTACGCCGTAGATGGTCTGGGGTCCTTCGGGGTACCAGGGATTTCCTTTCTGGGTTACACCTGATTCCACGACTTATGGTAGGTACTTCCAGAGAAATTGTGTCACCAGCTTCCTTACGGACTGAAGCATTAAGGTCGTTGTCGACGGTGCATGCTCCGACTTGAAATTCGTAAATGCTGGTGTCCCACAAGGCTGTGTGCTATCACCCACACTGTTTCTTCTGCATATCAATGACATGTTGCAAACTAGTGGCATCCATTGCTATGCAGATGATAGCACAGGAGATGCCCTTTATACAGGCCGCCCCAACATTTCTCGGGAAAACGTCATCGAGAGTCGAAACAAACTTGTGTCTGAAATTGAAACTTCCTTAGCGGAGGTTTCAGATTGGGGCCGACTAAATCTAGTCCAGTTTAACCCAAAAAAGACACAGGTATGTGCGTTCACCGAAAAAAGATACCATTTGTCGTATCACCTCAGATTGAGAGCACCTCCCTAACTGTCTCAGCCAGCATCGGAATCCTAGGCATCGACATATCGAGCGAAGTCCAGTTTTGGGGTCACTTAGAGGGTAAGGTCAACAGTTAAAATAAGGACCTAAAAGACTAATTTTCACAATTACATATTTAAAAACTTCATCAACTCCTCCTTCTAGCAATCAGTTCTTCTCTGTTATGCGCAGCGAGAGATTTAGACATCGCAAAAAAGAGAGAAAATAAGAGGGCATGTCCGTTGTCTTTTAATAGTATCCACAAAGTCATACAAGGTACGTCACAAAAGATCCTTGTCGGATTATAAAGAACGAAATGTTCATTTAATGCAAATTATTCGATATACAGTGTACAGTTTAATTTTAAACAAGACAAGTGTAGACGAATGAAATTAAAATCTTAAGCAACGAATTCTGGATAAACTTTGATATTCACCGTCTGCGTGGCCTTAATCTACGAAGCTTAAAAGTTTTAATCATTGTCCTTACTTTTTGTAAAATATTAAGCAGGGGTTTGTGAATAATCTTTAATAATAAACCTTCTCACCTGATTGGCTTTGTTGATTTGTTTTTTCAGTCCAGCGAAAGCCATGGTTGTTGCGTTGCTTTTGTTCTGGTATTAGTTAATCTGGAAAGAGTAAAACACAGTTAATATAAATTATATAACTTAACTCGCTTTTTCCCGCGGCTCCGCCCGCTTATATGTCGGTTATCGCGATAAAAAGTAGCCTATGCCCTTTCTCAAGAATCAAACTATCCCATAGCGAATTGCATCTGATTCCTCTTATAAACTGCCGCCCCCGTTTCACCCCCTTAATGGATGATTTCTAGGATTAAAACTATCCTATGTCCTTTACCGGGACTCAAACTATCTCTATACCAAATTTCATTTAAATCGGTTTAGCGCTCTAAGCGTGAAGGGGTAACAGGCAGACGGACAGACACACACTATCGCATTTATAATATTAGCATGGATATTAGTATGGATTATTGTTTGCATAACACTCAAAATTTATGAACAGTATATTTCTTAAAATTATGTGCACATCAGAGTTATTCCTCCTATTTACACATATTTACATACATACATGTGTTGACAGTTGTCACGCAATAAATTGATTTTTTTTTTTACTTTTGGCACAAAGGCTTAATAATATAATTAACAAGTGACAGAATTAGCTGATTCGTTTTACAGTGGTGCTAATCCTGTCGTTCGAAAACTCTCTAAACTAAATAATAAAAAATAAATAATAATAATAAATAGTTACATAATATAATTTAATAAATAAAAAATAATGCTAATTCAGCACCAAAATATAATTATTTTTTACCTGACAGTAATAAATACTGAGTCATTACGTTTGATATTAATTGCAATAGTTGATATTAAAATGTGTATTTATTGTGTAGGAGTGCATAATTTATTTGTATCTTCATAAACCCTTTTAGCGCAACTTTTGTTTTCTCAACAGGTCTACGTATGATTGTTTCAAATTATCTCATAATACTTATAATTCGTAAGACAATATTCAAAACGACCTTCTTACCGTTGTTACGTGCTCAAATAACCAGTCTAAAAGTGTCCCTTTCACACTCTATTTCCTTTTCTATTTCCCACTTGAGTTTTTTATACCTATCAGTCCAACAAGGATCTAAAAATAAATACCTATTGTAATGAAACGCTAGAAGCGTATAATCGTTTATAATTTTTGGCAATTATTTGTCCTTAAGATTACTGGTACACCTTTAATATACATTTTGATGAAATTTTCGTTTTTATTTGGCATCTTGGCATTTTGATTTAACCACCTACTTCGGCATAATAGTTCAACAACGAAAATATCATTTATTCTTATAGTTTATCAGTCACTGAGTATCACAATTCAAATATCCTAAGCAAATAACTAGTAGGATTTCGAGCACACCCATAAACATTCACACTAATAAACCCACACATCATTCTAATGAAGAGTTCGGATAATCCGACCGTTGACTTACATAGGCACGATACAGGCTGGTCCTAACACAAATAACTTTTATGTATATAGAGTTAGCCATCAAGTTACAGAGGTTGATGCTGTTTGGCTATATTTTCAACAGAATTTTAATAATTATAATCGAACGTCAAATAAAAAAATATGGTAGCTAGTTACCAGTGCAGTTTAGTGTAGTCTGGCCAGCGGCCTATCTTGCATTATTTTTTTCCCATGACTCGGGAACAGATTTTTCTGGACGAAAGGTTCCCTATATCCTTTCCAGTAGCAACGAAAAAAATGTGTATGAAAATTTCGTGGTGATCAGTTGTATTTATTATTTTAGTTTCTGTTTCTATTTCAGTGGTTATTTTCCTCCCTGCAATCATAAACAAATTTTGGCTTCTTTTGTAAACCTGATGAAATCATTCCAATGTAAGAAATTAAAAGCTGTAATAACTCTAACACACATCCCGATCAAGAACTTTGACAATTGATAAAGAATTGTAACAATAAGTGTGTAATAACTTTATAAAACCAAAAGTTAGGTAAACCATAGTTTAAGTAATAGATAATACTGTTTAGTTTTCAGCCTCTTTACTGAAGCGAGGCTGATATTAAAATACTTCGATCATAAAACCAATACTTATGGCACAATGTTATGTCTCATGATGGCCTTCTTGGGTTATACTCGTAAAGACGATAGTGTTTTATAGTCTAAGTATGTTTGACGAACACATTTATTACTTTATCTATCGTTTATTACGTCATTGAAAAATTAATTAGTTTGGTAAATTTTCTTTTATTATTTAGGTATAATGTACCTAACATTCTTTGGTTAGAGCAGCATGCTAAGATTTTTACCGACCTTACACTATTCGTAGGTAAACCTATTTTGTAAAATAATTAATTTGGACATGTATCGTAAAAGTAGAGCAATAAAAGCACACTTAAAACAGTTTTAACACCAAACTTTTATCAGTGGGCGGAAGTCTCTCTTCTAGAACGGTAAAGTAGGATTGCGGGGTTTGTTGTTGGCACAGTGCCACATTAATGGATCGATAGGCCCGCGAGAACTGTAAGTAACATTATGTAATATCAGGCTTGTGTACCAATAATTGTGTTACTCTAGTAGTAACTAACATAAACTATGACCAACAATTAACCGCTGTCGCTCTATTAAGAATTTGTTGAATAACTATCTATTAACATTTCTTCACCATTTCATAGACTCTGTCTTGAAATATCTTAGTGGTTTTATCTCACACTATTTATTTCAACGAGCATTAACAAGAACTAAAGCTGTTTAAATGTTAACTATTTCTAAACAGTACCAGTACGGTTACCACCCACCGGTGGTTATATCGGACTCGACCCGACCAAAAACCGCACGCCGTCTCGGTTATCAGTTGCCGGGGAACCAGGTGTACCCTACAACGCGCTCCGTTGCGCGTCTCGCCACCACAACGGCCTGCTTTTGCTAGGGTGACAGATGGCCTTACCTACCACCCCCAGACCTGCGCTTCTGGAGGACGGAGGTCGTTTTGCGACCTCCGGCACCTGAGTCGTCTGCGATTGCATTGCCGAGCCTGGCGGGCCGGGAGAATTCTAAATCTCTCCCGGTCCCGCTCCGCCATCTCCTTTGCAAGCATAACTTGCTCGCAGAAGAAAACGGCGGAGTTCCACAAACTCTCTCTCCGTACCATGGTGGCAATCATGTTAAAGAGCGAGACAATTCCCACTCCGATGGCCTCCACGAGGCAACGCCTCTGGTCCACCCACGCCGGGCATTCTGCCAGTGTGAGGAGAACTGTGTCCACGGTCCGGCCGTCGCAGTGGTGGCACTCAGGCGTTGGCCCAGCGCTCGGTTGTCCAAGTCGTTCCTTCCACTCCTCCACGAGGACCTGGCGGAGTTGGGATCCTTGATTTCTCGAGACTCAGGACACCGACCGAACTCCCGCGGCTCTGTATCAGTGCTGCAAGGGCTCTCGCCTTCAGGTCCCAAGGTGGAGTTCCGGTCAGGAGACTTGCTGCCTCAAAGGAGATCGTGCGGTACCCCCCTAAGACCCTGACGGCCAGCACTCGCTGCGGTTGTTACAGTAGTGCGACGTTGCTGGCCTTTAGTGCATCCGCCTATACTGGTAACCCATAAAGGGCCATGGACCGCACCACCCCCGAGTAGAGCCCCTAGTGATGTTAAAAAAAAATCTTGAATGTTTAATCACCTACTGTATATGTTCGTGGGGCTCAGCAGCAAAAACACACTTGATTGTGGTCGAAAGAGCACAAGAGGCTGTACTTAAAGTACTTCTTTACCTACCATTCCGCCACCCTACTTTTAGTGTATGAAAAGGTTGAAGTTTTAAGCGTACGAAAGATGTTTGTCTATCAATGTATTTGCAAATATCACAAGCATACTGTACCCCTTCTCCAACCTTCGGGTAAAATAAAAGACAAATGTCCAATCCCAAGGGTTAAAGTAAGTTTGCTTAACAGCAATATAGTAATATTGCACCTAGGTTATATAATAAACTTAATTTAAATTACAAAACCAACACTTATCGAACTACCAAAATTAAAAATAAAATGACTTAACAGTTTAGTCTACGATGATGTAGAAAGCTTATTGCTGGTAACAACGTAGTTCAGGTTTAAATACACACACACACACATGCGCAAATGCACACGCACAGATAAAGAATTTATTATGAGTATTATTAATATAAGTGCCAAATCGTCATAATGCGGGAATCGAAGATGAATGGTTTTCCAGTTCAAGTAATCCCTCAAAACGAATAACACTATCTAGGTTTATTTATAATCAGCTTATTACAATACAATCATGATATAATGGATAAACACTTCATATTATGTACGTCACGTTAATGTTCGATAGGTGACGTCACGTCATGTCGAGATGAAGTCGGTTTTTCAGGTATGAATTTTAGTTATGTTAAACTAGGCAATGATTTTTAAAAATGTTGTCCGGTATGTTTTAAAATATTTTGGTAGTAGTTAATCTAAAAATAGCTGGCGGCAATTATTATGTATTGTTGACTTTATTGTATATTATTTATAGTAAGAATTCTTAATTCTTCTTCTCAGTTCTCGAGCCAATAAAGTATAAACGGTTGACGACAAAACGGTCACTAATCGTATAGGTGCCGTAGGTTACTACGGAAGTCTTACGGGCAACGTGATTATGTTTACGACATGGCGTTTCAATGACTTCAGATAAGACTGTTCAAACTGAATTTATTTGCAGTCTCACAATTGTGATCTAACAAGAACCTCATACGACTGCTAAAATCTATCTTTTGGTTTGGTTAGTCACGAAATTACGGTTCATCAGCAGCGAGTTAAGCTCTATCAAAATAGGTAGGGCTAAGCAACACGTAATTATTGGTTAATACAAAATGCAAGGTGATGCGTAGATACCTACATACTAAAACATTTTATAGACCTCAAGCGGCTTGAAGTCGCTTACCGCAGTTGTGATTTTTATCTTGTAATCAGAAAATGAAAAATTACAAATTATATTTAAGAATTGAGTTTTGGCTATGTGTTATAAAAATATAGGTCAAAATCACGTTCGAAGATTCCTTTACATACATACATA